AGCTAATATCCGAAGCATTGCCTTCAGTTGGCCCTGTGTTTCGGATACCCATTTTAAAGAAGTGAAGAAATTGTTTATTCAGCTGAAGCCATACTTCAATTTCTGGGGGGGGGGCAAGAAGCACTATCAGTGCAAGTTTATGTTCGGCAGAATTGAAGAAACAGTAAAGCATTCAAAAACAAAGCAGCTGAAGAAAAGAACATCAAATTAATAATTTATGCTCAGAAATTGAGCTACAAGTTCAATTAAACTGTATCGGCAGCCGCCCACAAGCGGAAAATAACAGCTGCCGAAATACGTACATAAGCAAAAAAAATAAACTGTTGTACGACAAGGCAAGCTGAAGCAAAAACAAGGCAAAAAATTCAGAAAGCGGCAAGTCTAAAGTTAAGCGCATGATGAACCGCAAGATTCTGAAGACGACTGCCCGAGTTCCTATGCTTCAGCCCGAGGATCAAACTGATCAACGTTGTTGAGCCCCATGGTGGCCTCAGCCCCAGCAGCAGAAGAAGCAGGCTTTGCACTCTGCCGAGCCTCCCTTTCCCTCTGTTCAGCCTCCAACTCCATTCTCTCAGCTTCCTCTTCGGCTTCCTCAGCCTTAAGAATTTCAGCTTCGACTGGAGTTGCATACTTCATATGAGGGTCTTCGGGATTCTGGACCCATTCAGCACATTTGGACCAGTCCAGCTTCGGCTCAGCATGAAGGCAGACTCTTCGGCATACTCTGAACCCGTTTCTGAAACCCATTTCATATTCTTCCTGGGTATAGACACGGACTTTGAGTAGAGCCTCAGCATCAGCCAGCTTCTTCTAGGTCTCCTCCAAGTCTTCCTTGGATTTCTTCAGCTCATCGGCGAGCTTGGAGGAGGAACCTTTCAGCTCATTCAGCTCCTGCTGAACTTGGGAAGCCTTTGTCTGAGCCTGGGCCACTTCTACTTTTTTGGCCATCAGTTGATCCTCAGCCTCATGGAGTTTAGCTCTTTGAACTTCAGTAGCAGCAGCAGCCTCTGAGAGTTGGACATCCCTGGCTTGGAGCAGCTCTTCAACAGCCATTCTGCTGGCTTCAAGAGCTTCTAGCTGTTGCTGCACTTCAGCTTGTGCAGCAGCTCCTTCCTGAATACGGCTCTCAACGGCAGCCTTGAATTTGGAGACGTCCACTCCCATGTGCTCCTGGAGGAATTTTTCCCCTTCCATCAGTGGGGGAAAAACTTCCTTCTCCATAGCGTCGCAGAAGGTTTTGAGGGCTTCTGCAGCTTTTTTCTCATACTCCTCACCCTTCTGCTGCTTCTCTTCAGCTGCTGCTTGCTTCAGCTTAGCAAGCTTTAATTCCTCTTCAGCTACCTTCTTTTCGTGCTCGGCAGCGTCTACCCTATCTTGTAGGGTATCTATCAGCTCTACAATGAGAGTCTGATTGTGCACGAACTGAAAACAGGAGCACAAGTTAAAAAATAAAAGTAAATAAAAATAGAGCTGAATTTTAGAGGAAATAAAGGCAAGGAAAATCACCTGCATCATCAGCAGTTGGTTAGACCTGGCTGGGTCAGGAACTGATCTGCTGGATTCGCCCATCCCAGCAGTGGCCTTCAGCGACCAGATTCTTGCCCTATCTACTTCGGACATGCCAGCAAAATCGCCGAAGTAGGCTGCAGCACCTTCACGGTTCTGACCCCATATGAGGTCCCAGATGTGATCTGGGATTGGAATTCGGGGGGCCGAGAAACCCATTTCTCCAGATTGCAGAGTCTGGAAGGAGGGAAAGGATGACGACGGAGCTTGTTTAGCTTTGAATGGCTCAGCATCATCCTTCTCAGAGGAGTCAATTACTATGACCTCCTCTTCTTCAGGGGTGAGGACGAAAGCCTCAACCTCTCTTGCAATGTCTGCCGTGAAACCCTCAGCACTGGGCATCACGGCATCTTTATTCTTGTGCTCAGCAGCACTCTCCTGAATTTCTTCTTGGACCCCTCCCTTAGATTCGGGAGTTCTCTGATCCACCTCCATCTCAGGAGGTGGCGGAGGGGTCTTTTGAGGTGATTGGGGTGGTGGCCGGGGAACCCTCGGCAATCCATTGCCTTCCTCGGGTTCCCTTATTTCAACGCCGATGGTCATCGGCCTCCGCTGAAAGTCATGAGGGCCGATGATGGCCATTCTTCGGCGCCTTTTCTGAAGAGGCTGCTCGTCCATGTCTGAGTCTGAAGACTCTTCTTGTATTTGGTCTTCGGGACGAACAGGGGCTTTCCCTTCTCTGTGTCTGTTACTCTCTTCAGACTGTAACAGACAGGGGGGAGGAAGAATGTGAGTGCAAAAAAAACAAAAAAAAAAAAAAAAAAAAAAAAAGAAAAGAAAAAAGAAGAAAGACAAAGTTAAGTCTGAAAGATCACCGAGGTCTTCAGCAAAGCCTCGTCTTCTTCAGCTGCCCTAGCTGCAGCTTCTTCTTCAGCAGCTCTGGAGGACCCTTCTCCTCCTTCGCAAGCTTCGAGAACCCGTGCAACCTCTTCGGCTGTACGGGCAGCTTCAGCTTCTTCGTCCAGCAGCTGAAACCAGGGGTCTCTCTTCTTCCACCAAGGCTTCTGCCTCTGATACAGAGCAACAGCCTCAATTTGGAAGTGGGAAGAGTCTAGATGAACTTCCCTATGCCTCGGTTCAGTGATAGACGGGGCCCGATCAGTTACAACTCGTTATCGGTTGACACCAAGACGAGCGTAGTTAATGCCAACGTTGGTCTCGTCCCGCTCTGAAAAAGAAAAGGGGAAAGGTCAGTTCAGATAGGTTGGCACAGCATAAAAAAGCGAAGTGAGAGAAGAAAAAGAGATAATTAAAAAGCCTCGGCCCCAGCCGAAGAAGCTTACCATCCTTAAACTTTCGGCTGAGGCCAACAGCTGCTAGCATGTTCTCTTGGAAAACATAATGCGTATCGGGGAGCCAAGTCTCCGGGATATGCTGCATTCGGCCGCTGCCCCCCCCCCCCCGGTTCGGCAGCTTGCCGAAGATATTTTGTTGATAAAGGTTCGGATCCGGCCCGTTATCTGCGGGGGGACCTAGACTTCCCATGTCGGGATCAGGCTCAGCAAGGTACCGGGGAGCGCTGAAGACGCAAGGGTGGCCCGGATCTGTGGGTGCCCTAACCCAAATCCATTGACCTCTCCAGTCCTTGTCTGAAGAGTCGTTCGGCCACATGGTCAGGTACTGGGGCCGAGACTCAATTCGGTACCACCCAGAACCATGGCTTCCGTGCCCACTTTGAATATTTGGCACTAGCCGATGAAGCTTTTTGAAGCAGTGCAGGTTCGGCACATACTTGAAGAACTTGCAGACCCATAGGTATGTCATCACCCTTCGGATGCTGGTAGGAGTTAGCTGACATAGGGAGATATTGTAATGGATCAGCAAGTCTCGGACAAATACGTCCAAAGGGAACCTCAGCCCGTACTGAAGCTGTCTTGTGTACACCCCCACATACCCTGGGGGTGGACGATGTATTCTATCGGATGCCGCGGGCATTCGGCACCAATACCCATCAGCTTCAAAAATGTCGTAATGCAACTCAATTTGCTCGGCAAACCGATATTGTTCGGCATTCTCCACCCACCATGAGTAGGGGCGGTTCTTTATCATGGCCGAAGCTACTTCGGCATTCTCCCACTCTGAAAACCCGGGGAGGATATCCCAAAGGACAGCGGGAACTTCATCGTCCCGTCCAGAAGCGCTCGGCCCCTCCGTTCTCTGAGGAGGAGCCGAGGAAATTGGAGTCGCCCTAATCCCTTCAGCAGGGTCAGACTCTGGCCTTTGTCCATTCCAGGTCCCAATCCTGTTCCTAGGATCGGGAATTGGCCTTGCTCTTCTTGGAGCACGGGCTCTACCTCTAACTCCTCTTGCCATTGATTATTTCGAAGAAAAAAGTCGAAAAAAAGGGAAGGAGTTCGAATTCGAAGAAAAATAAACTGAAATCAAAGGAATTTACCTTAATCCGAAGCGAAAGTTGCCGATTTACGAGTTCGTAGTGGCAAGTCTCAGTTTCTAAGCTTAATGCTCGGGGAATTTGCGAAGTTTTGATGCGGGTTCTTGGTTTCTCTCGAGAATTCTGGGTTTGTGTTGGTGAATAAGTGAGGAGAGATGACGCACCTCTGTTTATATCTCCAGGAATGGGAATACGGGGAGTCCGCGTTTCAATTTCTCTTAAATACCCCACTAAGTAACCGTTAAACACACGACCTTGCGATTAAACTGCCCATTATCCGTCCAACTTCCACCATCATCCGCCTTAACCGTTGTTATCTCATTAATTACGGTTTAAATTCAAATTTTTGGATTAATTAAATCATTTACTTCCCTCCTTTTCTGAATTAAATCAAACCCGACCCGTCATCCTTCCAAATCGGGTCTGGGGGGCAAGTTGTTTGGGTCCAATTTAGTCCAATTGGGCCTAGGCATTAAATGATCCAATTAAAAGCCCAAGGTCAAGGTTCAACTCTCCAATTGTGCTAAAGTCAAAGGTCAGCCCTCAAAGCAAGCCAATTGGGCTAAGGCCCAACCTCTCCATGTATGAAGAGGTATAAAAGCCATCAATATTGACAGATTCACATATTCTCATTCATTCACATTCTCATATATTCTCATATATTCAAGCAAAGCCTCAAGCAACTAATTCTCTTGCATAGTGTTCTCTTTCTACACATTGTACTGACTTTAGCATCGGAGGGGCCTTCCTCGGCAACACCCCCGAGGCTAGTTTACGTGTGTTTACTGTGCAGGAAACCTTCGGCCCAGCATAACTTGGACCGAACCCAGTCTTCTCCGTTTCAGCGGACCTTCAGCAAGGTCCCATTGTTTTCACCCGAAACACATAGTATCAAATTTGATTTTTTTTTTTCATTTTATTTTTTGTTTATAACCTCTCAAATTTACAAGTCACAATTTTATGCATGTAATTTGTGTATAGTCTGATAGTGTCTTTAACTTTAAAATTTGTGCAACTAATTTATTAAATTTTTTTGGTCTAGTTTGTTTGTCTCATACAACGGAGTCGAGTACTGGGTCTTGCAAAGTAAGTTATTACTTCCTCAATTTATTAGCATTTTTCTACAATTGTAAATCATGTTTATTGATTTTACTTCCAACTGATTTATTTTTGATATTTTGACGTGTAGATGTCAAGTGCAGAAGGCAGTCCAAGTTTTGTTGGGACTCCCCTTGCTGATGATGATAATGAGAAGGTAGCCCAAGAAGGAAAAATCGCAAACCGCACCAAATTGTATATTGCGGTGCGGTTTGGTGCGGTTTGTATATAATTGCGATTTGGTGCGGTTTGAAAAAATCACAAACCGCACCGTGCACAGCGCTAGTGGTATCCTTTACATGGAGATCAAAAGTCAAGGAGTCATTTATTTGACTCTTATTCATTTAATTTTGACTCTACTTGAAATTGAACATAAGTTTTTAAGATTGGCCAGTTTCTTGCATGTATCAATTTTATTGTCTAAATTATTCAACAGAAATGATGACAATTTATGAATTTGATTTAGAACAAGCCAGTGGCGGATCTTGGCCGAAAATATTATAGGGGCCAGGTTTAAATATTTTACTTCATGTTCAAAACTAATCACTATACTCCAATATTTACTTCTTGTTCAAAACTATTCATCAAGTATAGGCTATTTAAGTTTATTAACTAATTAATTATAATAATTTACGGGGGACCTGGCCCCGGTGGAAGGTCCCCCTCTGGAACAAGCATATATAGCGCATGTCATTTGGTTGACACATATGAGTAAAGTTTTTTTTAAACAAGCTAAGGTCTCACGACATCATCTTTTTCAATAACTAGTTATAACTTAATTACACTGTTGCATGATGGATAAAAAAAAAGGACAGGAGAATGATAATCCTGATCTCGCTTGATTGCCTTAAAACGAATAAACAATTAAATTCGAGTGGATGGTGCACCTAATGGTATTATAATTAGCTCATTTTAATGATTATTGTAATAATCAAATAAGCAAATAAACAATACTCTTTATTCATAAATACATTACATATGCACCTGGGTTTATTATAGTGTAATTTGTACGACAATAGCAACCTTTTCATAATTTTTTATAAACAATTTTCAACAAAAAAAACTATATTTAAAATGTGAGTGATTAACTCACAAGTTGGAAAGTATAGTAATATAGTTTCCTATATTAAGAATACCCAATATAACACCACTCGAATATAATTTATTTTGTAGCAGGTTGAGCAGACATAATTTGGCAATTAGGCACACTGCACACATGCCATATAAGTTGCATAGACTATTCCTAAATTATTTATAATATTAGTCTCAGAGATATATACCTACTTGTTTAATTTGTTGTTCTGTTATTATTAAGTATATTACTATTTAGTAATGCTGTGTTTAGGCTGCTATGCTTAGCTGAGCTGGCATTCTGTTATCTTTCTTTTTGTCATTTAGCTTTCTGTTATTTTGGTACAATGCATGTGTTAGATTCTTGCCAGCTATTGTAGCTCTGCTGATTGGTACATGTATTAAGGTGTAATGCTGTAACGGTTTTCATTCAAGCAATCAGAAAATATTCCTCCCTCTTCTCTTCTCTAAATTCTCTCCCTGATTCATCATGAATTTCCTCTGCTTTGAGCACTGAAATCACTTTATTACAGTCTTTAGTTATTGGATGCAATTGACTAAAAAGCATAAGCAGCCGAATTATTTAACCATTTTTAAAATGCAACATATCATAGAATAGAGGGTGTACTATTGTCTTATCTCTTTTACTATATGTTCCCATTTTTGAATTGCCTCATCATAAGTAAGCCTCAAATAAACAAATCCTACCTCGCTTTTTTATAAAGAAACACAACCAAGTTTGACCAGATTTAAAATTAAGTCCAGTCTAAAATTTGCATAATCAAAAATCGATAACATGGTAATAATTATACTAGTATTTGATTTGATTGACTTATCAGACCGATCGCTCGAATATGACTTGAGCTAATTTGAATGGGTCCAAATAATATGTTTTATATGCCTTTATAAATATATAATGAAAAACAAATGAAAGGTAAACAATTCATCTAAGTCATGGTACAATGTATGTATAAACTTGTTGAATGGAAAAAACATGTTAGTGATATTAGAGTAATACTATAATAATGAGATAAATAAATAAATAAATAAAAGAAGTTATACAATATTGTTCATGAAACCAAATACTTGATTTTGTACTATTAGTACGTGTTAAACTATATATGCACCCACTTTGTTGCTGATAATTTTTTTCACGATAACATAATTTAATAATAATAATAATAATTAATAGCCACTTGTAATTAACTGATTACCTTAATTAATTAAGTAAATGACAATCATTGAAAAGACTTTTAGGAGAAATTAAAATCGAGTGCTCATGCCTAAGCTATGAAGTTGGTCAAGTAAATCATCCACCTAACTTCTTCACAAACTAATTTAAAAGTTCAAAACTTTCAAATCTTACCAACCCTAATGAAAATATGAAAGGGATGGAAAAAGGAAGGAAAATTCCACTATTTGTCCCAATCTCATCCTCTAAATACATTCCAAATTCCAATTTATCTTAGGAAATAAGTTAGTTGTATTATGGCATATTAATTAGTATATTCCTTTTTTTTACAAAAAAGTTGGTAGTATTTTAATTTGGAATTTGTCGAAATGCACATACATAGGGCATCCAACTTACTTATCAATAAAAAAAAATAAAGAGGACATTTATGATTATTAAGTAACATTGTATCACATCATAGATTCATAAAGTAGTGTATCTTATCTTGATCTATCAAAATATAGAAAATTGCTTAGAGGTATCAGGAATATATATATATATATATATATATATATATATATATATATATATATATATATATATATATATATATATATATATACATATATATATATATATAGTATTGCATTCATTATAACATGTGTAGGAAAGAATTTCACACGTATACTTTTTTTTATTATCCTTCTATCCCGACCCTTCCGGAAAAAAAAATCCTCTCTGTCTCCTAAAACTTTAGATTACCCTTTAGATTCTTGGCTACTTCACAGTCCAATATTATCCTTTATACATCTCTATCTTAATTTTAATGCAACGTTCATTTTGGCCTATATGAAAAAGAGTAGAAGAAAGACAATGGAAGAGGCATCTAATTACTAAGCAATTAACCAATTGGTTGTTGGTGTAGTGGTGATTGGGACTACACTTGGTAGGGAGGACCCGTGTTCGATCCCCCGCAACAACAATCGGAAGGGGACTGGAACCTAACCACCCAGAACTGATCCCCGAATCCGGATTAGCCGAAAGGGTGAACCGGATAGAACACAAAAAAAAACAAAACTACTAAGCAATTAGCCAATGAAAAAGAGTATTGAAAAAGATGAATGTAGTCTCACTGTATAATTAACTGGTCAATTTGTAGTGTAATGGACCTAATAGTACTTTATTAAATGTGTATAATGATACTTCACATGTTTACAACGATACTCCAAATAATTGAATGTTACTTATGTGACATAATTAGTTTAGTTCTCTCTCTATTTATGTGTCTTTCATTTAGTCGTTGGTTTCTAATTCACCATCATATTTCTCTATATATATTGTTTCCTCTTACCTACACGGCTAGTTATTTTGTTTTAATATAAAGTTGACATATTCATATCCAATCATTTAAATTTTAATCGTGCTGATTATTCAAAGATGCATAGCAGTTAGCCAAAAAAGACCTCAATTGTTTGAGCATGTTTAAAACAACTTCCTTTATAGCATAACGAGACCTCAATCTGCCCAATGATGATCCGCATAACAATTTTTACCCAAGTTGATCAATTGCTAGAATACAAGCAGGCTATGATTTAAGGGACATCGTTATTGGCTTGTGAGAACGACTCTTTAGTCTTTATGCTAACAAATCAACCCCGTACAAAACTCATCCTATGTAATTGTCGTGGAACTTAAACACAATCAATTTAAGTCCATCCTATGGTCTATTCCTTTTGGAGAGTCTTTATCAATTTTACAATGACTGATTGAAAGATTTGTAAATTATACCTCGTAGTCAATTTCATTTAACAATCAATTAATAATATTTTGGCTCGTCAAATACTCTAGAAAAACATGAGTTTTTTTTAAAAAAAAGAAATAGTAAAATTGACGCTATTAGTCTCAACTATGATCCAATTAATATCTCAACTATTAATTAACTTAGGGCGCTCTCAATTCTCAACTTTAAAGCTCTTCCCTCGTTTTATAATGACCGGGTTTACCCGATTAAGATATGTGGGGATTGCAATATAATACTCCGTAATAGAATAAGTTGGCCATATTAGGCATATGAAACTAGGAGGGATCCATAAAGAGGTTTCCAACAGGATGGTTCCGGTTTAGCCTGATTCGGAACATTCCATTTGGCAAGTAGGATATGTACTTCTATCAATTTTGAGCCAGCATCCTTGTTAACTAGACAAAATTTGAACACAATTAGACTTACTGATCTTTCAGTACATGACCGGCCCTATTCTGTTTCATTGTGCCTTTGTGGGCCAGCTCCAATTTTCTTCATTAAGCACAGCTGCTCTTCACTCCGATCATACAGCCCAGCCCAATATCAACCAGGCCCATCACTAAAGAGGAACAGAGAATAAAAATTCTAGTAAAATCTAATGCTCACAATTAAATGCACACACAAACAATGAAACAATAGTCTGTACGCAAGATAGTGAGGCATACTCAAGTGGTTAGAGCTTTCTTCTCGATTTCAAGAGATCCTAAAACCGATTCTCATCACTTTCCCTTGTAGCTCTCTAAAAACCAAATAAAAAAGACATTCAACCAATATTTTGTCTGACTTGAATTGTGATTAACCAAATAAAAAAGACATTCAACCAATATTTCGTCCTTTTTTTGTTGTTGTCATCTTCGTCAATTGTCAATGTTATTAGATTGATACTTGTATATTTTAACAATTTTTGCCTAATACAGTATGAGTGTTAAAACAATTGACCACGATGTTAATGGTATGAACAGCCTTACATGTAAGATGTAACAAATATTTAGCTCACTAGAATGTTGGCTTTATAGCCATATTCATAGTGAAGCACTGTTTCTTGCACGGTATCATAGTGTTGTGCCAAATCGTGTGGTATTATATATGGAGTACTTTTAATTAATCTTAGTGATTTACAAAGTAACAAAAATCCGTACGCATAATAGTTGTTTTTGAAATAGATTAATTCGCAATTATTTGTTCCCATTGCGTGTTTGAAATCTATCAATCCTAAGAAGTGTATTTATTAGATCAAGTAACAAGTTGATCCCTCGTACAAGTAATACAAATTGAAATTAATTTCCTTACATCATTTATATTAAAGCATTTGACAATTCTAATGAAAGCATCCTTCTAACAAACGCTTGGTTTAAGTACTTGTTCTAAAACGACGAGTTGACAATCCTTAAAACATAAAATATGCGTCCCTTATAATACCAAAAAAGAATATAAGAATTGAATAATTTCACTTCAAATGACATGAATAAAATTATAAAAAAACAAGTATGTACAATTCATTATACAAGTAACAAATAAATAAAGCGCGCACAAGGAACATGTCTAATAAAAAAGACATAACCACACTCATAGATTAGGGATGGGCTGGTGCATGGTGTTCAAGGGGATCTAGGGCTATTACTGGGGGAAGCTAGTTGTGGTTTGGCTCAATCGGCATTTGGCTTTGCATGTGGAAATGAACGCTTGTCTAAAGGCTCTTCAATGGGTTGCGACAAGGTCCTTGCCAGCAGTAACTATATAGATGGACTCGTCATCTATGATCCTACTACCGTGGGATACACAAGTGAGTGAAATTCATCATCATTGGCCAGCGGATTGAATCCGACAATTGAGCACAGGTTTTGATTGGTGTTAAGTCCATAAGGTAGCTATGACATAAATAATTAAACAAAAAAGACACAAGTCTCTAGTACTCTACTAGTGCCACCCCGCAAAACTTTACCAACTAAACAAAAACCTTATCGACTAAATAAAGATCTTATTAATGGTTAGGTAGCTATGAGTTCAATTAGGATTAACTGGAGAACATGTGCAATAGCAGCAAGGGAAAAAAATGAGGGATTGACATAGTATAAAAATACAAACAGACATGAATAGTTTTCCAGTGTTCAAAGCACGCTTGAGTACAAGATCCAAAGTTACAATCACATGAAATCATGTGGCCGCTGATTTCTTGTCTCTTCCATCTAACTAACCCACAAACGAAACACACTACTTGTGTGAACGAACTTCCGACATTAATCTTTGGGGTTACAAATATACACTAATTACAACCAACATTTTTAAGTAATCACTTACTCATACGGAGTACCTTGTTTCGGATTATACAAAGTAACCGGTTTTACAAGTTGCGTCTGTAGAGAAGCACACGTTAAAAGTAATTTGAAACAGAGGAAGTAAATATTTGCCGACCGATCTTGTTTACAATTACTTACTATAGCAAAATCTCAAAACATGATTGTAGGGTAAATAGAACAAAAAACAGAATATAAGTGTACTCGGGACATGCAGGCCTACCACTACTTACCACACAGAAGACACAGGGAATCAATTAAAAATAGACCCACCAAAATATGGTAAAAAGAAGAGCACATAAATTTGAACATGAATATCAATATCAACATCAACATCCATGCAATAATGTCAGGAATAATATCAAGGTTTTTTAATTTTCAAGCCTCATAAATTAAATCTGAATATTTCACCAAATCCTTAACAAATACAAAATAATGCATACGTAGGAGTATTCCTACAAATGAGATGCCGTATTAACTTGGTAATATATAATTAATACGATAAGATAAAATCACGCATCATTTAGTGTTATTCAATTCGCATGACATCAAAAACAAAACAAACATCTGTCTGTAACATTGAATATACAAGAATGAAGTTTATCAATATACCGATATATGAAGTATACAAGAACATAACTCTTTCCATGGTTTTCTTAGGTGAAACAATCAGATACATACTTTAATGTTTGAGATCAGGAAAGAAAAAGAAACAAAACATATACAAACTGCAATACTTCATTAACATTAAAGCGTCTAGATTCACATAACGGGTGCCTATTTCTAGTGCAATGCTAATACTTAAGGGGGTAGACTCTTCACAAATTTCACAAGGAGTGAAATAACACCAAGATCACAACATTGCTACTATCAACTATTCCGTACTAACTACTCGGGCTAGGGAGATGGAGGCCAGCCAAATTCATACATGTTATCAGGACCTTCATAAATCCTGAGCTCTATGTCTTCATCATCCCACATACCATCAAAGCTTTCATCGTCGCTATAATCCATGTAATCATAATCCGAGAAGTCGGAGTCTGAGTAATATTCATCGAAATATGCTCTCCTTTCGAAAGCACCCATCACCACTTGAGGTCCAAGAACCTCCAACTGTGGGTGCCGCTTCTCAAGGGCCTTTTTGTCTAGATGGACATCCCAACACCCTCGCAAGTCCAAGAATTCAAGGTCGGGGCACCCTGAAAGGATGTCAAGGACACACTCTGTGTTGATTCGAAGGTAAGCAAGCTCAAGCTCTTTAAGCTTAGGCATTGTTTTGGCAATAGCATGAGCTTCATCAACATGTGAAAGCTTGAAAGCCGAGCCTAAAGGGTGCATGTTCCAGCTTAATGAAGACAGCATCTTACAATTTTTTCCAAAGGCTTCTAAAGCACGAGTGCTAATCTGACAACAGTAGCTCAGGTCTAATGAAACAATTCTAGAAAACTTCCCAGCCAACTGCTCTACAATGGAATCACTGATACCGCATCTCCGCATTATAAGATTCTGAAGGGAGCCCGCACTGGCAAATGCAAAAGAAATAACACATCCACACCTCAAAATCACGAATTGAACAACCATTTTACATTATCATAATTAATAATTAACATAGAAACTATTAATCTAGTAGGCTCTCATCAGGCAACATATCTATGATGCAAATTCAGGTTATATGCTGAGGTCCTCTCTTCCTACAAACCTTCCGTTACATAAAACTTCAACCCTTTAACTTCACAAAAAATTAGCATTGAAGGTGAAAACATATATCATGAGCATCATTACAGTGTTCGTTTTGTTTGTTTTATTGGTTGAAGTGGATACATCAAAGATTTGTTTGGTTAAGCAAGCCAACAAATTTGCACAATTCCAAAATCATCCCCTGGAATCCACAGGCCTCATCCCGAAAACGTGATTTTGAAGACATGGATTTGGCATTGGGTGGATATGAGACATTCTCCCTATACTTTTTCCTCAAATGAATGCTCCCAGATCCACAAAACACCAAGTCCATGACTATAATGCATGGTCCCCAATATTCTTTCCATTGTTTGCATAACAAACCATTATTGATTGATCTATCACATTAACTCATTGGTCCCCAAATCACACTTAACTCCTCACTAAATTATCTTCATAATCAATATGATAAGGGAAGGCAATCCGAAGGAACACGTTTTCCTCCCCTTCATTTTCGCCTTTTCCCTTTGCCTAACGTCGTACCAGAAACAAAGAGCATTTACATTCAACATTCAATAATCACAATAATCTAGCTATAAGCTAAAAACTTAAAACATAGAGATCATAGTTAGGATGCTTACTTTTCAGCAATGAAAGCGAAACTCTCATCATCATTGACACAAGAAACTTGAAGCTTACGAAGCGAGCCAGCACTACGAGTAATAAGCAATCGGAGCATCAGGTCGAGTTTATCCGGCTCGCAATCAACACTCCACTCATCAAGATCTATCTCTTGCCAACAATAAGGCCCTTGAGCAGCTTTCCCCCATGCCTTGCAAACTCTAGGAATCACTGTTAAAATGTCCTCTAATGACAACTTCTTAAATATTAACCCTAATGCATCTGGAATTAACTCATCCCATTGTCGAAATTCACTTCCTTCTTCCATCTTACTCTCCCCACCTTCAAATCAACATAATTCTCCACAAATTAGTTTTTTACACCAAAGTTTAAAACTTTACAAGCTATAAAAATCAGTATTGATTGAACTTAATATACTTTACAAGCTATAAGGTATAATTGATATAATCATATAAAACAGATCTTATGACAAATTGAACATAATATACTTCAACATAAATCAGTATGGTAAGCTAATATGTCTTCAAACCAGTGTTTTTGTTCCAAAGTTTTAATTTTTTCAAGTGGGTATCCTAAATCAAGCAAGAAAATTGAAATTTTCACACACGCATAGAAAAATAATTAAAATTGCAGCTTTAAAACAGGACAAGTGAGATAAATAATTCAAGAAACAGAGAAATACCTAAAATGAGAGCTTCAAATCAACATAGTACGGAGTACAAATTAAGGGGAAATTGGAAATTTTTTCACCAATTTCTAAACTTTAATTTTTAAATTGGAGGAGGATTTTATGATTTATCAAGAAATGGGATGAATTTAATTCCCCAGCTACCCAAAACCCAGAAAAATAAATGAAAAAGATAGATCAACAACAAGTTTATAGAGCAATAAATGAATTAAAGCAGGAGTTTCATGAAATAAAAAATAGAGTAACAGATTCAAACATAAATTAATATAGAATTGAGTGAGGTTTTTGGATAATATTTTAATAATTACAAGAATAAACATACCTAAATTAAGGAGGGAGAAAGATAAACTTGAAAGCTTCAACCTTTTCGCCCGAACATGAAGAGGGAACTCCGAATTATCCGCTAAAAGAAGAGAGAGAAAGTGAATTTGTGTGTGAGAATTAGAGAGAGAAAGTTGAGGTGAGTACAAATGTTTATGTTTTACCTCTCACTAGTGGAGTGGTGCTAACCAACGGATTTAAAACCACCGACAAGAAAAGTTGTAGCTCTAAAAAGTTTATTAATTTATAGACCCCACAATATCACATTTTTTGCTAAATTATAGGGAAGAAATGAACACATAAAAGGACTCTTGTCACTAATCTAAATTTCAAAAGCACATATTCTTTATTATCGCATGTATTACACGCTATTAGTTGATGGTGTAACGGGTTTAAATTTTTGATAACACCATTTTATCATATTGATTAATGATTGTGTAGAATTGAGATAAATAATCGTATATGAAGTTCTTGTATAGTTGTATACAATAACTAGATTAAGGATAAGTATTGAGGTTTGTGTTGATGCATATATGGAGTTGTTATTTGTTAATACAGTATCATTTACGAAGGAATAGTGGTAATAATCTCATATTCAATTTAGCATGTGTTGTGTGCACAATTGCACATAGAAGATGTGTTGAATCGAAATTATTTTGTACTCAAGTTGCTATTGAAGCACTTAAATTGCCTTAAGACACCAATCACAGTCATAATAATAATAATAATAATAATAATAATAATAATAATAATAATAAATAAATAAATAAACAATTATTAAGAGATACTCCGTACTATAGCTTTTACTATATAGAAATAAATAAAAATAATAATAATAAATAACAATTACATTTAAACTATCTCAAGTATTCCCTCGGTTCCTTTTATATTTGTACCATGGGTTCACTTTTTGTAAGAGTTTTTTAGATCAAATGATGCAAACAATAAAGGATAAAGGGAGTGAGACAATAGAATTATTACATGTTAAGTCTAGCATATCTTGGTTTCCAAAAAAAAGTAGACAACAAAAAGATTAGATATATTACAAACATAAAAAGGATTTTACTAAGCTTTACATAGTATAGTATTCTAAAGAATTGGAACAATAATGTTAATAAAAAAAATAATAATAAGAAGAGAGAAAGAAGAATCATACCAAGACAAAATATAAGTATAGATATAGATACGAATCATACGATACAAATCATACGATAGAAAAATTCTTGTAGCAAAATAAGGGAAATTAAATGGAATATACAGGAGTTGTAAAAATTAAAAAATAGGGTATGTGAAAATGAAGTTATACAAAATAATAGTGAAATCAATATATAGTGGAGGGCAACAAGGTTACACGCAAAATGTCAAATAAGTTTAAGTTAAACCTTGCACGTCAAAGGTGCGTGAATAATGCCTGAGAATTGAATTGAAGTGGTATAAATTTCTGATAGCTTTGGAATTATGCACTTTTGCTACGATTTTCTGCAGATATTGAACACTTTAGTCAACAAAGGAATATTAAATTTATACATAACAATTAATAAAGGTTGCAAATTTCAAGACGGTTGAATTTGTATGGGGTGGTAAATTATTAATTCATCATCATACGCTTTAGTAACGTAAGCATTGGTGTGATTACTAAATTTGCATGTCAATATGTGGTTTTTATTTACTTGTATGCTTTTGGTACCATAGAAATACAACTATATAAGTATATGCACGCACTAGTTTTTTGATTATCCAATGGTTATTTTTATCAAAAATATAAAAAAAATTATCTTAAGTTTTTAGAAATTTTTTTAACATAAAGCTTGATTTAAAAATGAATAATGTTTGTTCCAAGTTGAGTTCTCCATGTCTTTTAAAATCATACTTCGTAAAACTCAAATAAACAATCTGATCCGAACTTTATCTAATTTATAAGGAAAAGTAGCTCAACCAAAATTCTAATACCCAATTTGGCTTTTAAGGGTTATGGATTTATTGCCTTTTAAACATTGACAATTTGACCAAGAATTAAAAGTTAATTAATCAATTTAGGTTACCACTCCTTTTTACAATCTTCTAATAATGCAAGTACAAACAACTTTTTCAATGGATGAGAGAGGTTGAATTGGACTTTTAATTTCATTGGGATTTTAACACGAAGAATTGTCAAACTTTCTCATTCTATTGTTCTATAGTCTTCATCTTGAAACCATACTCTTGTAAATCAAAAGCTAATGCCATAGTCCCGTTAATTTAATTACTAGTGATAGTAAATTAGGGTCTGTTCTCATTGACTGAACTAAACTGAGCTGAACTGAACTGAACTGAACTTAGTAATTAGTGATTTTTAACTACGGATTACTGATCTTTGATTATTTATTGATTATTTATTACTATACATATGTACATATTAAATTATTTATGAAAAATATACTTTATAATTATAATATTTATGGAAAATATACTATAAACATGAAACCCAAAAACATTACACATATACTATATAATTTAAAAATAAAATAGTATTATGACAAAAGAACACAAAACACTTTGTTGTTTAAATTTTTTTTTTAAAAAAAATAAAATAAAATTACGTTTTCAGTTGCAAATAATCGTTGCTTGTTGTACTCTACACAATTTTATTCGTTTACATGAACTAGGGATTCCATTCACGCACCAAGTTGAAGTCATGGAGCGAAGAGAAGATCATACTATGTACGATCCTAATAGAAAAGCAGCTATGGATATTGTACGACAAGAAATAACTGATCAAATATGGGAGTCAGTTCAGAGGAATGCCGAGGTAATGGAGGAGCTTGGTGGACAAGAAGAAGATGAAGAACTAACCGATTATGAAAATTAGTTTAAGTTGTGTACTACTCTAATTTTCTCAATGAGTTTAACAATAGAAATGTGTATCAAAAAAATAGAACCATTTGAACAATGAATTGTATTAATATTAATATTAATATTAATATTATTATTATTATTATTATTATTATTATTATTATTATCGTCGTTGTAATAAGAGCTTAAAAGAATGAAATTTGGCTTTATATCATTAGACATAAGCTGAACTGAACTGAACTGAGTTGAGCTGAACTGAACTGAACTGAACAGAACTTAACTTAACTTAACTGAATTTCAACGTATGAGAATAGTCCCTTAGTACTCGTAATAGATAAGTTTATTTGATAAAAAAAAAGTGATAGTTATAATATTATTTATTCATTAAAAATCAATTTATTCAATAAAAAATAGTTTTAATTTAATTTAATAAATGTTATTTAGAAGAAAAAAAGTTGTGTTCAGTAAAACTTAGGTAAAATTATACTCTGTATAAATAATTATAGGGATCTAAAATAACAAGTTATTAGTACGTATATTGTACATAATCAAACACATTTCATTATTTTAAGATATCAATAAAAAAATAAATGTAGTCAAAGTAATTTTATTTGTGCTAGATTGTTTATATCCGATAATGGGATTTGGTTTTTTTTTTTTTTTGTTTGTTTTTTTTTTAAGGCTTTCGAAGTTTCAATAATGTGATTAATGATGTTTTAGTAAAAACTGTTAATCTTATTGGTGGATTTTCCTTGGAAATTCCAAAGAGTTAAGAGCAATACACCGTATGAACATAGTCTACCAGATCTCATGTAGTTCACACCAATCCTCTTAGGGCCTGTTCTGATTTACTGAAAACAATTGAATTTAAGTTACTGGAGTTGAATTGAACCGAAATGAAGTATTTGTGAACGAAAGAAATTAAAAACTAAACTAAACTGAACTGATTATATTTAAACTGAATTAATCTGAAATTAAGCTAAACATAACAAACTCCTATTAAATTATTATGGTTTACAAAAAATGGGAGGAAAAAAATTAAATGCTGCGGTTATTTCGTAATGAGAATATATAGAAGAGAAATGTAATAAATAAAAATAATAAAAGATGAAAGTAACCCCACTACCCTACTCTAATAGAGTAATCAGTGAAGCATGATGATCACGCAACAAATCGGGAGAGACATAAAGGGTTGTCTCTAGTACCGTTCTTCTACCATCACTTGGTCCACTTCATGCAATATAAAATGGACTAATGGAGAATAAAATTATTAATTAGGTTTTGGATTTGGGTTTATTTATTAGTGAATCTCATTAATTGCTTCGTTCTTGGCCCAAATTTATATATCTTGGGCCCGCCCACAATTAGTGTTGCTTAAGCTAAGCCATTAGCCCAATCTTGCAAGGCTACATTCAGTCTAATTATGAGAGGAAATTAAGAATGCTCAATGGCAAATTGGCCATGAAAAATCTACAAGGAGTTTGGGATAATTTTGTCAAAAACTTAAACCAACATCAATAATAACTCTTTAGTATTATCAACAATAAATGATAATGATGATATGTACAAGTATCACTTATTCTTATATCGGCCTAGATATGTTTACTGTCTACCATCTTTAATTTTTCATCTTTAGCGACGTCCATTCACAAGAGCTCGTTTATCAGTTATTGTAATAATATCGACTTATTTTTCAACAATTTTACCAACAATTTTCTTCTAGATTGGATCGTTACCATCCCCTGCACAATTTATCAGTTACGGATTCTTTGTCAAAGGAACATTTTCATAATCACTTCCGTGGCAATAAGAATCTTGCATAACTCCCATAAGTACAATACCTATGCTTTAGTCTGTTTCATTTTTTCAAAACAAAATTAAGTACGTACTCATGTTATGTAAGTAATTGACATGTGAAAATTGTGAACCAATAAAATTAACA